AGTTATAGGCAGTGTGTTGGTGCATGTGACCACCGCTCCTCGGGCTTCCGGGCACTGGCTGGCCCCTCGATCTGCCTATCCTTCTCCTTCCCTCACAGTACTCCCCTCCCCTCAACAAGCAGAGCCATGGCGACCTGCCCTGCGGTAGTTGGGTCCCGACGTCACTTCCCCACCTCGAACTCAGAAGTCCGCCGCTTATGGCCATTTATACAGTTTAGAGAGTTCATGACAGAGGTCGTGAGGCGCTGTCCCCACCACGAGCGCTGCCCTGACAGTAGCGACGGTGAGCCGTCGTCAGGCTGCCAGGATGGGCAGGCCTGTTAGTCCCCTCTGCCCCTGATTCCTCCCCAATTGCTCTCAGGTCTGGCGCCTCCCCAGCATCTCATCCGAGTGGAAGGAAACTTGCATGCCAAGTACCTGGACGACAGAAAACACTTTCCCGACATAGCTGTCAGAGGTGCTCCCACGAGTCAGCCTGCTGAGGTCTGCTTTTGCTGGCATCTGGGGGCTTGGAGGAGAGGTGGGGGAGGGGTTTGTCAGCTGCTGTCAACAGGTGGGGAGATGGGGGGCTTTCTCCTTCTATGCAACCTCCCACGCAAGGTCACAGGCGGTGTGCACAGCCAGCCGGTGGTCCCCAGGGCATCTGCTGAGGAAGCCAGCTCACACACTGCAGGCTCACCCGGGCGCTGGGTGGCCTCACTGCCCGATCTTCTTCTCCCAGGTCGGGTTCGACTGTACCACACCATCCTCACTACACTCATGTGTAATGTTCCTGCATGGGGGGGCATGAACCGGGATATCATCACCATCATCACCCTGAAGACTCTGGGTAGGGGGACCTCAAGACGCCACCCCGTCCCCCCAGGCCACTTTTCTCCGGGTGTTATTGCCCGGCCCAGCCCTTCCCTACAAGATCCTCCCATCCCCGCCTTTGTGGGAATCCCCTCTCTCTGCTGTCCCCACCACTCAGTTTTCTTTTTTTTCTCTGGCTTTGGGACCTTCTCTTCACCCGGCTTCCCATTATTACCCTAGGCTTTCAGGTTCCACATAGGGATGAAGGAGGTGGGGAGTAAGGGGGCCCCATCTCCCCTCACTGCCTCCAGCTTGCCCTTCACGGGTAGTGGGGAAGTTGCTGGACGTGAACAGCTTCGAGGCACGGTTTGTGCCTTGTCCTGGGAGAGAAAGACCGAGGAGGAAAATTTCCTGCCCAAGAAGGGGGAGCCTTGCCCCTGAGCCTGCCCCCCCCGGGGAGCACTCAAGCCAGGTAATGGCAGACGAGAGGAGGCAGGAGGGTGGTCTGCTCAAAATTTACTCTTCTCAGCTGCTCTCACCTCTCTCTTTTCCCAGCTGCCTGCCTCAGCACCAGCTCTACTCCCCCACAAAAAGAAGAAGCCACTGGATGGAGAATATTTCAGGTAATCAAGGGCGTGGGATGTTAACTCCATTGAGCCACCCAGGTGCCCCGATTCCTTTGTGTAGTTAATACATTGCTGAAGATTTGTTTTAAAATGTGGTTTTCGTTTGACTGCTTTGCCTGCAATTAGGGCTGCTTTGCCAGTAGGGGGGCAGTGGTGCCTCTCAGACAATGGCTCAAGGTTGTGCCTAACTTCCTCAGATCTCCAGTCACAAGGTGCTATGGTACTGCACTTTCTAATACTTTTTATCCCCCTCCTCCCCTGCCGTCAGCAGAGATCCGCATGCGTGAACGCCGAGATGTTCCGGTGAGCTGAATGAGGGCCTTGAGCTGAAGGATGCCCAGAGTGAAAGGAGCCAGGCGGAAGCAGGGCTCACTCCAGAGTGACCTGGGCCCCTCTCCCAGCCCCTCGCCTCCCCCCTGCCTCTCCAGCCGCCGTAAAGCTACAGGACTCCATTCTGATCCCACTTTCAAGGCAAAGTGAACTGCTTCCCCCTGACAGTGCCACTGCCCTGCTCAGTCTTCTCTCAGGCTGTAATCCTGCACCCCTGCCTCCTCTTGGTCATTTCCCCAGCAAACCCCCAGCTCAGAGCCAGGGGTCCCAGCCAGAGGCCTGGATGACCCCGTGGGAGTATGAGACAATCAAGCTGGGTTGGAGACAGTCCCCCCAGCCCTGCCTCCCACCACCAGCAGGTCTGGCGTGGGTTTCTCAAGGACACTCCCTTTATTGGCTCAGTTTCCTTTGTTTGTCAGACGGGTGGGAAAGACGAAGACACGCACTCCAGAAGCACCTGGTGCTCGGTAAACACATGCTGGTGGTGACCATTTCAGCTTAAATTCCCCTGCTCGCCTGGGGCCCCAGAGCCTGGATCTGAGACACGCCTCTCCCACTCACTGACGCTGTCTCTTCTTTCCTGCCCTTGTCTCGCCAACAGCCACCTGAAGGCTAAGAAGGGGCAGCTCCATCTCCGCCTCATAAAAAGCCAATGTTGAAGAGAGGGGCTGGACTCAGACTGATGTCCTTTCCGCTTCTGGTCCCCCCCCCCCCCCCCCACTGACACCTCACCCTTGTCCTCCTTCCTGGCATTTGGGAGTGGAGCTTGAACACACAAGCTTGGGTCTGTTCCTCCCTTCTGCTTGGTACAGGTATGCCTCGAAACACCATGAATTTTTTCCACTTACCTTTCAGCCCCAAGGCCTGCTAACAAAGTTGGCCTTCCACGAAGTTGGTTAGGGGGAGGTGGGACCTTCCAACCGAGTTTTTAAGATTTTTACTATGAGGAACCCCTGAGGGAGGTAGGAGAATGCTCATAAAGAGCTGCTCTAGAACTAATCATACCAACAAGCCCAGTTCTCTACCATTTTAACCAGCTATTGAATTCTGTTCCGATTTTATTGTCCATTTTATGAAATGCTAATAACCATTACCTACCACGTGTTTGTTGTGAGGGTTAATGAAATGATATATGTCTTGCCCCAAACAGTTTTTTATTACACGCATGCTCGAGACTGCCTTCACGGGTGCTGATTCCTCAACGCCCCTATTGGTGGATGGGATCGCTCCCACGACCGACGCATCAGGTCTCTCTGCTGGCCCGCCGGTCCTGTCTTCCTCTCCGCCGTCAACTCACTTTAAAAGGAGTTGACTTGTCCACGCCTCGCCAGGGATCCGACCCCAGGTGTAGGATCTGTGTTGCTCTCAGGTCTGGCGCCTCCCCAGCATCTCATCCGAGTGGAAGGAAACTTGCATGCCAAGTACCTGGACGACAGAAACACTTTCCGACATAGCGTCGTGGTGCCCTACGAGCCGCCCGAGGTCTGCTTTGGCATCTGGGGTCTCTGGGAGGAGGTGGGGGAGGGGTTTGTCAGCGGCCGTCCAGGTGGGAGATGGGGGGCGCTTTCTCCTTCTTATGCAACCTCCCCACGGCCGCGTGCGGTGTGCACAGCCAGCCGGGTGGTCCCCAGGGCACGGTTGAGGAAGCCAGCCTACACACTGCAGGCCTGCCCGGCGCTGGGTGGCCTCACTCGGCCCGATCTTCTCTCCCAGGTCGGCTCCGACTGTACCACCATCCACTACAATTTCATGTGTAACAGTTCCTGCATGGGGGGCATGAACCGGAGGCCCATCATCACCATCATCACCCTGGAAGACTCCAAGTAGGGACCCGCACGCCACCCTGCCCCAGGCCACTCTTCTCCCGTGCTATTGCCCGTCCAGTCCTTCCCGCGCATTCCCATCCCCGCCTGTGGAATCCCCTCTGCTGTCCCCCACCCTCCGCCTCCAAGTTTTCTTTTCTCTGGCTTTGGGACCTTCTCTTACCCGGCTTCTCGATACACTTAGGCTTTCAGGTTCCACATAGGATGAAGGAGGTGGGGAGTAAGGGGGGCCCCATCTCCCTCACTGCCTCCAGCTTCTGTCTTCTTACGTGGGTAGTGGGAAGCTGCTGGGACGGAACAGCTTCGAGGTACGAGTTTGTGCCTGTCCTGGGAGAGACCGGCGCACCGAGGAGGAAAATTTCCGCAAGAAGGGGGAGCCTTGCCCTGAGCCGCCCCCTGGGAGCACTAAGCGAGGTAAGCGGGCAGGACGAGAGGAGGCAGGGAGGGTGCAGTTCGGCTCAAAATTTACTCTTCTCTCGCCGTTCCTCACCTCTTTCCCAGCGCTGCCCCCCAGCACCAGCTCTACTCCCCCACAAAAGAAGAAGCCACTGGATGGAGAATATTTCACCCTTCAGGTAATCAAGGGCGGGATGCTTAACCCATTGAGCCACCCAGGTGCCCCGATTCCTTTGAAGTTAATATTACTGGGTTGAAGATTTGTTTCAAAATGTGGTTTTCTGCTTGACTGCTTTGCCTGCAATTAGGGCGTTTGCCAGTAGGGGGCAGTGGTGCCTCCAGACAATGGCTCAAGGTTGTGCCTAACTTCAGATCTCCAGTCACAAGGTGCGTTAAGTGGTACTGTGACTTTCGCCCTAATACTTCTTTATCCCCCTCCTCCCCTGCCGCAGATCCGTGGGCGTGAACGCTTCGAGATGTTCCGAGAGCTGAATGAGGCCTTGGAGCTGAAGGATGCCCAGAGTGGAAAGGAGCCAGGCGGAAGCAGGGCTCACTCCAGGTGAGTGACCTGGGCCCTCTCCCAGCCCCGCTCCCCTGCCTTCCTGCCGCGAAAGGCTACAGGACTCCATTCTGATCCCACTTTCAAGGCAAAAAGGAACTG